TTATTTTTTTATTAAAGGGGGAAAATTTCAGAGTTGTTATTATCGGGGGGAAAATTTCAGACTTGATCCGAAAATTTAATTAAAAAAGAACTTAAATGTGAATTTAAAGGAGAACTTATAATTTCTAATTTTTTTAAATTATCTTCTAAAAACTCAAAATTAAAATCAGGTGGTAGACTTAAAGAAAAAGTACTTAATTTAATTGTTTTGAAACTGATAGGAATTATTTTTCTAAATAACACGAATTTAATTTTAAGATTCAATAATTAAATTTTTTAAAAAACTGATAAAAAAAATTTAAATATTAATTCTTTATTATTTATTTATTAAAACATTTTAATAGTTTTTAGTTTTCAAATTAAAAAAATAGTATAAATTATTTTACAAAAATAAAGAAATTTTGAGTAATAAAGTTCTTTTATTTTAATTTAAAATAAAATTTTATCACCCATTAATGACTACAATTTTAATAAAAAAACCATTTTATTTAATAATTAAGTGATGACAAATATAGAAAGTAATAAAATATTATTTTAATGTATAAAAGAAGTATTTGTTAATAGAAAAGAAATTTCATATAAGAAATTATTAAATTGTGTTTATAAATTAATACTTGAAATATTTATTTATTTAACGGATAAATTATAAACAAAATATTTTAATTTAATCATTAACAAAACAAGAAATTAAAGAATAATATTGTTACCAGAACTCTATACACTTTATCTTAGTGGAATGAATTCAAAAATTGTAAATCAAATGTCAAATCTATCAAAAATCATAATTAAAAAGATTTTTAATTAAACCCCAATAATAAATAAAATGATTAGTAAAGATTTATTAAACACAGACAGTATTGATGAAAAGGACCTAATAACAGAAGAAGGTCAAAATGATAAGGATGAACATAGTTGGCATAGAGTCAAACAACAGTTGGAGCAAGAAATGGTTTCAGCGAACAAATATATTCAAAGAAATTAAAATTTATTTTCCTATTATAGATTTATTAAAATTATTATCAACTTTTAAGTTAATCAATAAAAATTAAAAATTAAAAAATTAATTCTTTATTATTTATTTATAAAAACAATTTATTTAAATAATTAATTAACGATTTAATCTTCTTCTATTGTTATATCTTGGATTTCCAGTAATGGCTTTTAAAAGAGATTTTAATTTCTTTTTGACAGTTTCAGATTTTCTATCATTATTATTAATTGAACCATCAATACCTGTTAACATCATTTTATCATCATGTTGACGTTGTTGATTATTTAAACTTCTCTTCATAAGTTTATTTTTATGTTCATTATTAGCTTGACTGGCCAGTGCTTTTCTTTTCATTTCTGATTAACTAGTAGATTCCTTATTTAGAATTGCAATCAAATGCCAAATATCTTTACCCATAGCAAATGTTTGAGTAATATCATCATTACATTCAGCAACCGTTAATTTAAAATTATCATTGTCAAATGTTATACAACTGGACTGATCAGGAGTTTGAAATCTTACTTTATTCCCTTCAATTGTTAAGTTCCATCCCACCATTTCAAGTGAATTACCAAAAGCAATTGCTTCATTATCATAAATTAAATATTTTTTCTTGCCTCCAACAGTAGAATAAATGTTGTACATTCCATTAGATGTTTTTTGAAATGTAAATTTAAGTGCTTTTGTATAATCGCCAGATGCATTAATAGTACTATACCCTTTACTCCAGTATGAAGGTTCAATTATACTTGATAAATAGAATGATTCTTCATTTGTTGATTTATTTCCTTTTTTAGAATATTCAAATAATTGTACTAAATTTCCATCACATTTTTGAAAACTTAACAAATCATTATCTTCTTTAGTTAAACATTTTCCATTATAAATATTCTGTATTTTTATTTGATTCTGTCCATGTTTAGAAATTTCAAAAACACTATGTAAATAATTAACAAATTTTTGGAATTTGGCATAACGATTTTCACCTGTTAAAAATTCACCCTTTTTGTTTTTTATATAATAATAATGTTCTTTAGTTACTGGTGCGGTTGTTAATACAGTTCCTTGTGATTTATTTTCAAACTTAAGTCTACTTGTAAGAAGTAAATTTCTATTAACTAACTTTTTACCTTCATAATGAAGTGTAAACTTTCCGTTAAGTGTTTTATCATAAAAACAAGGATCATTAAATTTGTCAAGTTTAAGTACTTGATCTACATCAGGATGTGTTAGATAGAAATACTCACCACTGCTATTCTCAACTTCATCTGAACAATTTCTTTTTAATAATTTACTTCCTTCTCTATATAAACATTGATCATTTATCATAATCTTATACATTGCATCATTTATTCTTATTATTTTAACTGCTCCAATTGCAAAGTATGTTGTTAGTGCAACTGGGCTTGTAAAAGTACTATTTATTACTTCATTTCCATTTTTAATTCTAATTGTTTTTTCATCTGTCATTCCTTGACTTATCGTAAATTTTTGTGCAAAGGCTTTTAAATCTACAAACTCTAAATCTCCTCCTCTCACTGACAGATAATAACTATCTTGTTTTATATGAACATCATTATCATCTGTATTTGCTCCAATAAAGTTATTTGTTAAATCTCCTGTCATGCTATCACCATTCAAATCAGTACATTCATTCTTACTAAATCTAAATTCATCTGTATTTACATTGTTTGTTGGAAATGGTGAATGAAAAACATTTCCCATTTGGGAAGTAATAATATTTTGTGTTTTTTCTTTTACTAAATTTTCATCTGAATTGATTTTATCCCTGCCTGATAATAAAATTCCATTGGCTGTATTACTAAGAGAATCACTTGCGGATTTTGTTACGTCTGCTAAATTAGCTTTAGCACTATCTAACATTCCACTTGCACTTTCACCCAATGAATTTACTTTATCATTTATACCTTCTTTTAAACTATTTGCTTTATCAGTTAACCCTTGTTGCAAATTACCTGCACTTTCTTTGGCTTTATTTAATGCACTACTTGCACCCTCTTTTAATGCATTAAATTTATTTGTTGCCCCTTCTTTTAAACTTTTTAATCCAGAAGTTATTCCTCCAAAATCTATAAATCCCCATACTAATATTACTAATCTTAATAATGTAATTTTCATAACTGAAACCATTATTTTTTATTTATAACAAAAACTGTAACACTGTTAAAACTGTCAATTATAAACAATTTTTTAAAGGAGAAAATTCTATACAGAATGACAAACAAATTTAAAAAATCAAAATCTCGAAAAATAATGTTATTAATTGTTTCATTTATATTTTTAATGATAATTGGTTTATCTTGTTTCTATTTTGGTGGAAAATTAACGTATCTTAACTCTAATATGAAAATTTTGAAATCATATAATTCAACTTTTTCATTCATTTTAAAAAATGAAAAATTTAAAGATAGTGATATTTCAGAGAAATTTAGTGAAATTAAACAAACAATTTTAAATTTAGAAAGTAAAGTTAAAAAAATTAAGAATGATGATTCAATTGATAAAAAAGAATATTATAGTTTAAGTAAAAAAATAAACAATCAAAAAGAAGCTTTGAAATGGGCGTTTCTTGATTTTTGTTCAATACAAGATAATGTAGAATTAATTGATAAAGTTTTAAATGAATTAGAAGAATTAACTAAATTAATATCTTCCCTTATAGACACTTTTGAAGGTGTAAAAAGTGATTCTAATTAAAATTTATTTAATTTCTATTATTTTGTGAACGATTCATTCTTCTTCTATTATTTCCTAATAAAGAATTTTTATCATTATTGTTTAATCTTTTTAAAGAATCTCTTTTTTTTCTAACTAAATTTTTTGCTTCCATAATCATTTCATCCTTTGTTTCTATGTCGTTTGCTAAATGATAAACTTCATCAATATTTCTCATACCTGTTATTACGTTCACTCCATTTTCATCTTTAAGATCATTTTCTTTAGTTGTTTTTTCTTCCTCTGCCATTTCTTCTGCCTGTTCAACTATATTTTCTACATTCTTTATTTCTGAATCATCATCTTCACTGTTAGAGTCATCATCCATATTTCTTTTATTTAAATAGACATCTTTTATTAATTTTCTATTTCTGGCTCTCTTTATATCATTAGCATTTATAAACATTGTTGATAATTCCCATGTAGTTTTACCTTGAATAATTGTTTGATTTGTATCTGTCGGATCACAATTAGCCAATTTAAGTCCATCTGTAATTGGATCAAATGTAATACGATATAGTTCTTCTTTATCTCTAATTGATAATTTGTTATCAAAAAAACGTATAAACCATGAATAATCTGCAGCACTACTTAAAACTAGCTTATTTCCCTTTTTAATTAAATACTTTTTAGAATTTTTTAACTTTATATTATAAATATCTGTCCCCACTTCCATAAAAAGTATTTTATCTGCATCTTTTTTATTACTTGAAATTCTTATTTTATTTCTAAAACGAGACCAAAAACCTGGTTTGAACGGTGTTGTAACATAATTAGCATTTTGATTATAAATACTTTCAGTAATTTTAAATATTTGTTGTTTTGTCGGATCACACTTCTGTAAAGTAATTAATCCATTTTCACCTGTCAAACATTTAGAGTTGTGTTCGTTTATAATTTTTACAAAATTAAGAGGTCCTGCTATATTTATAATTCTATAAATACTTTCATTCATCTTTTTGTAGTCAATTAATTTTACTTCTTTTTCGTTACTGTTTAAATATCTATCATACTGATCTTTTATATAATAAAATCTTCCTACTGGTTCAGTTATAAAACTTATCGGTGCTAACTTTCTATCATATTTTACTATATTCAAATCAAGATAGTTTGTTAATCCATCAAATCCTAACCAAATATGAAAATCATCCTTTAATATTCTATTAAAAAGCGATTGTCAAATTTTATATTGAGTTGGTAATTCTGTACTGGGCAGTTCAAAAAACTCTGAAGGATCGTCACTACAAATTTTTAATCCCATATGTTGACCTCCCGCAATTGGTAATAAACTTCTATACAAACAGAGACCGTTTATTTTAAGCTTATATTTGTGTTCATTTATTCTATCTATTAATATGTTTGATGTTGCATTTGGTCCAGGAGTTCTCACTATGGTAATTCCTAGAGCTGATAACACATATGGTGTGTTTTTAATATTAAAATTCACATGATTCTTTTGTGTTTTTATAACTTTAATTGGGCTTGCTAATTGCTTAAATGGAACAAATGAATAATGAATAGGACTTCTTTCATCTTCAATGTTTTTAAGGTACATACCACCTTGTTCAATTACAATTTCTTCATACTCTAAATCGTTGTTTATTAACTCGTAACACTTTATTAAGTTTGTTAAAAACATTTTTTTTAAAACAGTATTTTTAATTTTTATATTTGGTGAAATTTTGTTTGAAATCAATAATTTTTGTTTCAATTGATTTTACTTCAAATAGAAATTACCGTTTTTATATAAAATTTAATATTATTTAAAAATTTTTTAATATTAGTAATAGTTAATTTTAGTTAAAAAATTTTTAATATTAGAATTTATTAAGATTATTGTTTAATTGGTTGTAGATTTAATAGTTTAAGCTGTTTATAATTCTTAATTTAATATAAAACTATATTTTTCATTTAAAACTATTTACAAACAGTTACAATTATTGTTTTATAAATCATTATTTATTTTTTTAAAGTTGATTAATTAAGAAAATAAATAAATTTAGTTAGTTAATATTAAATTAATAAAATATTTTCTTATATAATACACTTTAAAAATAAAATTATAAAATATATTATAATGTCACAATATTACAAAGATTAAAAATCTTTTTACTTAGACTAAGTAAGTAATAATTTCAAATTGATTTTTTAATATTGAAATATTAATTAACTTTGGTTATTTGTAAATAATATTAATATTTAAGGAATAAATAAATTACTTAGCTCGAAATATTATATACCTATTCCTCACAGCAGTAATGGTAGTTAGGTAATACATCTTCATATATTTAACTCTATGGTTTTCTAAGTTTTTTAAAAAATAAAAAATAACCATTAAAGAAAATAAATCTAAAATTAAATATTAAAAAAATGATTTTCATTCTAAAATAAATAATATTATTTTTATGAATTTTAATAATTAAAACACTGTCTATTATTTTTTAAAAACAAATAATGTTTTAATAAAACTATATTTATAATACAATTAAACCAGTTAATAATTAACGTTTTGACTACCTTTATAATTAGAATTTAAGAATCAAATACAAAAATTTTCCTAAAATTAAACATTTCATTTCATTAAAACATTATTTAAAGGTCTAAGGTTTTAATAGAACTTAAATTATACTTTAGAATTAATTTATATAAAATAAATGTAACTAAGCTATAAATTTATTATTAAATCTTAATAGAATATTGTAATTGTTCCATTCACTTCTAGTGTCTTAAGTATGAACACCGGTAGTATAATATATGAACTTTTTAGTATGATTTACAATGAAATGAGTAAATTTTAACTTACTTTGAATTCATAAATACGCTCCTTACTATTATTTAAGAAAATTATTCTCAAATACAAACTTATTTATTTTTGGTAGTAGAATGTTAGCAGTACTGTTAAAAACAACATATATTTAAACTAATTTATAAAAATAAAATATCAAGTGATTTAAATAATCAATTTTTTATTAGTGGGTGACTACCTTGATGTTATTTCTGTTTATTTAAAATAAACTTTTTTATTAAAGAAAACCATCTTCCCTTAGGCGAATTAGAATATCAATTTTTTGTATTTGATTTCTAATTAAATTAAAAATATTAAAACTTTTTTCTAATATTCACCCGATATCTATTTGTACATAAGTATGATTTTTTTATTATTTACAACACTAATATTATACTTCTCAAAAATACATTGAAACTTAGTAATAGTAACTCAATACGTATTGAAAAATACTTAGTGAAATCATAAAAAATCGTTACAATACCTAATGTTATTAATCATTATTTCTAACATATAGCTTAGTTCTCATATCTTAAAGACATGATCTACATTTAATATACCTTTCAAGATTTTTTTATATGGAAGAACATTATCAAACATTTGAAAAAAAAGCTATCTAATAATATTATTACACTAATATTCTAATAAATCATGAGTTAAAGATTTTTGTTTAAATTTTAAAAGAAATAAATTCTATTTGATTAAAAAAGTACAATTGTGTTCAAAAAAGATGAACCGAGTTATTTTTTGAAAGAAAATATCAAAAAAATTTAAAGCAATGTTCAAATAAAAAGAGTCACTTTGATTTTCCCTCCAATTTTCATTTTAAAAAACCATTTTTGAAGCCTTTATATGGCAAGATATTTGAATGATATCGATAAAGCATTAATTTGTGATGATATTGATTCAGGATTGAGTTTAAACCAAATTTCTATTAAAAGAGGTTTTGCTAGAAGAACTGTACAGATAATAGCTGAAAACCTTAGAAATAATGTCTTTATTAATCGTAAAAAAGGTTCTGGTCGTCCTATACTATTAAATAAGTCTATGAAGTAATTTGTTAAAAATCTTTATGTTAAGAATACATTTATTTCATCTAAGGAAATAATTGAATAATTGATTAAATTTAAAGGTTTTAAGACCCATAATTTCAAAATTTTAGGTATTTTAGAGTTTTTAACTAACTTGGCAGTGAAAAAAATTTTATTAAAAGTTGTCAATATTGAAAAAAGATTAAAAAATTGTGAAAATTTTTTAGGAATGAAGGACGAAACCCTTAAAAAGATAATTTTTTTCAGATGAAGTAAAAATAAACCTATTTACTAGTGATGGGGCAAGATATGTTAGATATTACCCAGAAAAAAGACATAACAGTAAAAACATTTTATCACAGTAAAACATGGAGGATGATTTATTATGGTCTGGGTGTATATCATATCAAGTTGTTTGTAGACTAGTATTTATTGAAAATACTATGACAGGGGCTGTTTTAAATTAATTTTATCAAAAAATTTGATACAGTCGGCTAATGATATGAGTATTAAATCATTTATTTTTATACATGATAATGATTCAAAACATACTTCAAGTGTTGTTAAAGACTGGATTATTACAAAAGAAATTAACATTTTATCTTAGCCGCTTAAAAACCAGGATTTAAATTCTATTGGGTATCTATGAGTTTTTATTAAGAAGGAACTAAATAAAAAGATTGAATTAAAAAAACAAGAACTTAAAGAGGAAATCTTAAGAATCTAGAATTCCATAACACCTAAGATGGTACAGCCATATATTATAAATTTTAATAAGAGAATTCTAGTAATTTACAATGCTAAATGCAAACATATTGATTATTAAATTTTAAGTGATTTTTTTAATAATGTTTTAAAATTTTTTAATTAAAAGTATAATTTTTTTGATTTCTTTTTTATATTAAATTATTTTATGTGCTATAAAGTAAAAAATTGTATAAATTTCATTTAAAATATTTTTTAATTATTTTCTTTCAAAAAATACACTAGTTCATTTTTTTTAAACACTACTGTATATTTTATGAAAAAATAATTTTATTGTTCTTAATTTTTTTTAAATAAATCTAATAAAAATCGTGTTCATTAATGAAAATTTGAAATATTATTATAAACATCACACAAAGATATAATCTTTAAGTATTCGGAAAAATTATATTTTAGTCTTTATAATATTTGTTTAAAAATAACTAAAAATCGATTAAAAAACAAATCAAATAATTAATATTTTAAATAAATATTAAAAGAGAGCCTTAACTTTTTGATCAAATTTTTATAATAAAATAGATTGTTTGTGGTTAAAAAATGATAAAAAATTGAAAAAGTTTTTTATTAAACTTTTAGTAAATTAAACTTACCATAACTACCCTTTAAAACCGTTTTTAACTTGTATAAAGTTAAAGTTATAATAAAGAAATTTAAAATTATTAACGTCAACAAGCAACATAGAAAAGTTTCCATAGAAAAACTATAATCTGAGAGTAGATTAAACGGTGAAATAAACTTTCTAAGTTTTTTTATCGTTGATATATTAAAATAACCAAATGTAATTAAATCTAAACCACCTTCAAAAATATACATAGAAGCCCCCTCATGATAAATAAAAATATCTGAAAGCACATATTTAATTGCTCCTGATAAAAGATAATAAATAAACTCATTAAACGATAATGATAAAATTAAACAAATTAAGTAAATGAAGTTAAATGTTAATAGATAGAAAATGATAAACACAAATAAAAACTTCCAATTTGTAGAAAAATAGATAAAAGTAGCAATATCACAAATAAACATAATAATAAACTCTCTGATGGAAATTAAATAAATAGCAATAAAATACTCAACAACACTATAATATCCTTTTCTATACTCAACCTTATGATTTTTAATTGATTTATAAAATAAATTAAATCCAAATAAATTTAACAAGAAAAACCTATAAAATAACAACGTAGAGATAATTAAAAAAGGACTATTTTTCATTAGGTTTTTAAAAGACACGTTGAATTTAATTTTTGATGTTATTATATCAGGAGAAAAATGTCTCTTAATTTTTTCAAATATTAATTTTTCTTCCGATGAATATTTTTCAATACAATCCTTAAAACCATTATGATTAGTTTTAATTTCTTCAAAAATATTAATAAAATTATTATAATAACTATAAAACCTTTCTTTTGTAATAATAAAATCATTATTATTCACATCACAATATTCAAGATAAACTTTAATATTTGGAAGTATCATAATAATAAAGCTAAAAAGGAAGTAAAAGCTAAAAATCTTACTCATTAATATACTTGCAGTTTTCTTTGCAACTGAAAACTTTTTAAATTTAGTATTAATAGGTTCTGTATATTCAATTTCTAATTCTTTTGCTTGAGAAAGCCAACTGTCAACTAATAAATTATACTTATAACTTGAATCCAATGTCAAGTTATTTGAGGAATCTTTTTCTAATGTAATAATCTTTAAAAAGAAGTCTGGATAAGAAACAAATTTTTGCTCTTTAACAAATCCTATTGAAGCAAAGTA